TCCTCTAAACGTTGACCTCCAAGTTTCAAGCATCACTACCCCTGTGATCACTATGTCCATCCCAAACGAGAGTTACGGAATAGAGAAGACGTTATCGGAAAAGAGTTTTTGAGTGAGGTCGCATTAGTGAGACATAGGACAATTTCACATAGCTGCAGTCGACGGCCCTTCAAATTCATGGCATTCATACATGGTGCTCGTAGTTTTCGGGTTTTTTCCAGAAGTAGAGGTCAGGGTTGCTATCGCCTCGTCGATGCTCTCGCACTATACGGCTTAGCAGCAGACGATGGAGTCGGCGCACTCGTTATTCTCTTCTGATCGTTAAAGTTTTGGTTTCAATTTCGTTTAGATGCCATTGACGTCCAAGCTCGTGTGTTCACGATGAATTTCACTGCCCGAACAAAATCCGATGAATATTTTTTGAAACTTTCAGGTTGAAGAAAAGAGGACGGCAAAAAGGGCATGAGACAACCAGGATGAGGAATTCAAAAACGTGAGTCGCCTATTGATTAGAGTGTATCGTTTTATTATATATTTATCAGAGGTTGCTATCTACCAGTCAGATAGAACGCATCGCTACTCTTCTCCGATATCATATGATAATGTTGAAACTGTCTTCTTGATTTCGAAGAGCACTAACGTCATTTTTATCTTGTCGAAGTTGCGCTCCGTCATGTGTGACGCATCAAACCCACGGGGTGATACGGATGATTGCGTACTTACTAAGCAGTGCCAATCATTAAATCAAGCTACACGGAAATGAAGACATTGAGATGATTATCGGAGAAAAAGTAGCGAAACAATTATACGGTCTCCTCTCATGGTAAACCTCATTGGCTGCTTTCAGACTTCGACGACCGTCCGTCCGTTCAACGCGGTCGCTTGCGTGTGGCGACGGCGGTTCTAGGAAGGTGCCGACAACGCTAGATCACGCGCCAGCGCTGTCAACACTTTGTAGAACCGCGGTTGCGGTACGCACGCGACCGCTGTCGCAGCACGCGTTGAACGGACGGACGGACGGTCATCGAAGTCTGAAGGCAGCCATTCATGGCACATGGTTGCATTGAAAACTATTGAAGGAGTGGCTTCACTAAGTGTGTGAAGGCAATCATTCCTGCAATCTTATCGCTTAGAGTGTTGTGATCTTCATCATGTGTGCGAAGCCAATCCTCCTGTGCTCGAGCTTACACGTTCGGTTCGCTATTGCTTGTAGGAGTCTTTACGCTGATTGTTAATCATACTGTTGCGAGGATTACTTCCCTGCTGTTACACCCCGTAGAACGCGGATTGTGGTGCTCAGCATTAGATTGCAGGCTTCAGTCGGCCAAAGTGAGCATGTGTGTTGTATTGGATAGAGCAGGTTGGCAAAAAGTGACAATAGCTTGAAGTCAGGGTTATGCGAGAAGAGAAAATTTGGCCCTTCCCTATTGAAGTAACAGCGCCACGCATCAAAGCTTGAGGTTTAATAGAAATCACCTTTCCCGACATCAGTTTGAACCCTAATTATCCGACTATCAACTCACCAAGACTTTCATAGTTATATAAAAAAATACCATTCAAGGCATCCGTGGATTATTAGTTTGGAAGACCTACTCTAATTAGATCTTGATGGAACCGCCTACAACAGATACACCTCATCCCGCAGTATCAATATTATGTTCATAAGTTTGAAGAAAATCAGAGTGAGTTGCAGAAATTCAACACTGACTAGAGGGTGCACTGAAAAGCCATTTCATTATTCCGTCACCACCATTTACATTGTTGGCTCGCAACTACTTTGTGGCAGTTAAAAGACATTATGAACGACCGCAGTGAATGTTGTGACCAAAGATTTTAGTGAATCACTCCTTCGAACGTTCTTTAGTGGGAAGATTGTAATGGGAATCGTGCTATATGTTTGTTGGGAGCTCTTCGAAGAAATGTTCCAACATACTGTAATTAATCAAGTTATGAAGAGTGATCCATGACTTTCGAGTCCTCGCTTCCAATTGGAGCGGCGCGGGAAAGCAATTTCATTCCAGCCAGCAGTTAGCTGATAACAGATTTTGCCACTTGGGTGAGTGGACAACGCCGAGATTTAGTCGTATCGGCTGCGTAGAAATGGCATTGAGATTTTATGTGCTTTTGGATTTAACCGACGTGCATTGTTCCACCGGCCAATGAAGTTGCTGGCCACGTGTTGACAGCAAGGGATAGGTTGCGTTCACGGTCGCGTGAGTGGTATGGATCGGCCTCCGTATTGTCAACTAGTAGACAGCAACGGCGTCGGTCAGTTGGTCGGTCGGTGAAACAATGCATGTCATTGAACCCTGAAAGCACACAACAGCTGCCAAAAGCTGCAATAGGACGCACTTTTGCAGTTGGAGCGCAATAACTAGATTTCTCGTCGATTGTTCAGTTTTCGATGTAAGCTACTGCTAGCAGCTGTGGCGTTTACTAGTGTTGTTGAAGTACGGCTTATTATACTGTCTTCATGTGACGTTTTTCACCAAATCGCAAGCAATCTGCTACAGGTGAGACAGATTTTGCAAAGGTTGTGCATGGAGCTTCTCGGTAATTTTCATTTGTATTACTTTCCATGAGTCAAACCATAACTACCGTAGAACAAAACGGCGTAGGGGCCAAACTACGTTTCAGAGAACCTAAAATCGAAAGAAATAGAACACAATTCAATCCTATAAAATAATTTGGGCGCTCCCACAATGTTGACATAGATAAGCTATTCGCAAATACGTATGCACGTAATAAGCCTACAGTTTTGGTATAGTACCTCTAGATGGTGTGATTACATACTGGGGTACGCGAAGCCTTTTATTGGTGAACCTAATCATATGAGTGACATGACATCGTTCAGTTTTTGGTGTTTTGGCCTACTTAATATTTTGCTCACCTAGTTCGTTCTGTTTCTGCAAACGTTCCATCTTTGTTTTCATGTAATGATTGCAGAAATTTGATGCACGACGCAGTACGCAGAACAGCGGTCGCTCCAATACCGAAGAAATTTTATCGCAAATCA